ATTAAAGCATTCAAAATCAAAATAAATAGGGCAAATTAGATAAAAAATAAAAAACATTTTTAATTAATATGATGAGTTAAGTCGAAGTTAAAGAACAAATCAAAACCAAGAGAAAAATTTTCTACATTTATATACCAAAAATAAGTTTATATTTATCAAAAATAGCTGTATCAAACCCATTTCCTTTAAAATTATTATATTATAGATAAGGAAAAATGGCAAAAATCTCTCCTTTAAGTTCACTTATTATTTCTATCCCTTATTAGTTTTAAAAATATTTAAAATTTCTCATTTTTAAGTTTAATAAGGTGGATATAAAAATGTGATAAAAAATAAGGCGAATATAAAAAGGTGATAAAAAATGAAGCGAATACAAAAATATGATAAAAAATGAGACGAATATAAAAACGTAAAAATGAGTCGGATATTAAAATGTGACAAAAAATAAGGCAAATACAAAAATGTAATAAAAATGAGACGGATACAAAAATGTAAAAATGAGGTGAATACAAAAATATACGAAAAATGAGATGGATATAAAAATGTGACAAAAAATATATAATGTATACGCCACCTTTTTATTGTATCGGCCCTATTATATATCCGTATTTTTATATATTTTTAAAGAATTTTAATCATTAAAAACTTATAAGGAAAAAATGATTAATTAGCCATAAAAGTATGTTATTTACGTCATTTGCCCTTATTTTTATCAATAAACAAAAGTGGCTTAATTTTCTATTTTCTTTATATAGGAAAAAAACAAAGCTCCAAAATTAAAAATGGTTAATTTAATATTGACGTCATTATTTTGACACCATTACAGTTGTCCTTTGTCACCGTCACCGGCTCACCGCTCTGATGCGGCGAAATAAACCTGTTCTTCTAAAATTCGCCACGTGTCTACCTCAATGTCAACGCCTGTCATTTTATCAAGCCCTAAATCCCCCTCACCCACTTTTTTTTTTTTTTATATATATATATCCCCAATCTCTCAATTTCACTTCCTTCTTCTTCCCTTTACTGATAAACACACACAGTATTAAAGTTTTTAGAATCAAATTCCTCCAAATTCACCAAAACCCTAACCCTTTTCCCCAAATTCAATCCCAAATTCACAAAAAATGTGGTTCCTTTGTTCCCGAATTCAATTGTGTTGAAAACATTATCTGAATTGCTTCGTTTTTATCGCCGGGTCGGGTTATTTTGTGTATGAAAATGGCGGAGCGGATGAGGAGATACAGTGTTGGATACGCGTTAGCTCCGAAGAAACAAGCGAGTTTCATTCAACTTTCCCTTGTGAACCTTGCTAAAGAACGAGGAATTGATCTCATAAAGATCGATACGGAAAAGCGCTTGATTGATCAAGGACCGTTTGATTGTGTGCTACATAAAATGGACGGTGATGATTGGAAGCGTCAGCTGAAAGAGTACGGATCTGAATTTCCTCAGGCGCTTATTATTGATTCCCCCGAAGCGATTGAGCGGTTGCATAACAGGATTTCGATGCTTCAGGCGGTGGGGGAGGTTGAAATCGACTGTGAAAATGCTTCGTTTGGGATTCCGAAGCAAACTGTAATCTATGATGCAAAAATGGTGTCGGCTATAAACCTTGAAAATGAAGGTTTGGAATTCCCGGTGATTGCGAAGCCATTGGTGGCTGATGGAAGTGCAAAGTCGCACAAAATGTTGCTTGTTTTCAACAAGGATGGGTTGAGAAAATTGAAACCGCCTATTGTGTTACAGGAGTTTGTGAATCACGGGGCAGTGATTTTTAAGGTGTTTGTGGTTGGTGATTATGTCAAGTGTGTCAAAAGGAAGTCTTTACCAGATGTAAAGGAGGATGGTTTAGGGAGAGTAGAGAGTTACTTGCCATTTTCTCAGGTTTCGAATTTGAATAATTTTGAAAAGAATGATGATAAATACTATAAGTTGATGAATTTGGAAACTGCTGAATTCCCCCCTTTGAGTTTTCTTACTGATATAGCTAGGGGACTTAGACGGGTGACAAAATTGCATCTTTTTAATTTCGATGTGATTAGGGATAATAGAGTTGGAAATAGGTATCTGATCATTGACATTAACTATTTCCCTGGGTACGCAAAGATGCCGAATTATGAGAGAGTGTTAACAGACTTTTTCTGGGATGTTTTGAATCAGAATGATAAGAGCTTGGGGAGTTTAAAGAATGTTCACTGTGAGAAGGAAGTTAGGGTTTTGGTTGGCAATAGCGGGTGTGGCGAGGATGAAGGAACATTGCCTGTTTCACCGCTTAAGATGGAAGAAAATGAGAACCCTATTCAGGTGTGAAATGTTAAGTGCAGAACTCAATCTGGTATTTGGTTGTGGGAAGCAACAAGTTGCTCTGCAAAATTTGCTGAAGTTCAAGCAAGCTGCAGGGACTTATTTTAGGTAGGGAGTTGGTACATCAGTTAATAAGTAGGTTCTTTGCTTGTGATCATGTCGTCTGAAAACATTAGATGGTAATCTTTGTTCAACTTGTACATTCTATCTTTGCAGTGAGATAGGTACCTTTTCAGATACTCTTTATCAGGAAAACCAAAGTTTTTCCTTCAAGGCAATTGTAATTCCTGGCTGAAAATATCTTAATTTGTGCCTTTGACAACTTTGATAATTGAATATTGCTGTTTCTCTCAATGACTGTTCTTTAAAATATTTTCCCCGTCATGCTGCTTTACAGGGTGGTCTTATTGCACATGAATTTTGCATTTTGAATGATGTCACTTACTGCTTATGTAATTTATTCATGCAAGAGGGATCAAATTCCTGGGAGATTAATTTCTATGGCATCTGCATGACATATTCTTGATCGTCTCTCGCGTAGAAGTTATTATGGAAGTGTTTGTAGATGAATATTCCTTTTCTGAACTACATTTTTTATGTTCACCACAGTTCAAACCCTTATTTGGTAGTTTAAGACTAATTTATGTTGAATATCAGTATCTTTTCTTTGATAAGGTATTTTATTAATGTTGGGAAAATCAGCTGATTGTATTTTATGCTTTTAGTCTTGTCAGATGCAAATTTAGTTCATCATGAGCCACAAGTTAAACCCTTGTTGCATGTTTTATTTGCACATAATGTGGGTATATCATTAAATCTTAGAGTTAGATTCGTCAGTAGGTAAGGCTCGGCATGCACTAATGTAGTATCTCTGTATTTTTAGGGTAGTTTTCTCTTTTCCATTTGACTCTTGAGAGTGAATGCTGAATTCTGTTGCTGCTTTAGAGTTGTTCGTGGACTTTTGCTATTTAAGCAATATGACTGGGACACATCGGAAGAAAACTGTTAGTATTGGCTTTCCCCCTAAGAATTTGCTGTCGTGTTTGTGTTCAGGAAACCCTTTGGCATAGACTCAATTAATTGTGTTAGTTGGCACGTTACTTGAAGATTGATTAATATTAGGTTTTTAGTTTTGCATTGAGTTGATTCTTGTGCTGCATGGTTGTAAGACTGGCTAGGTTATATGATAATGAATATTGAGCTTCTAATCTCCAACATATCTACAAGGCGAGTGCCATAGAAATGTTGGTGTTACTATTATTTGTGCATGTAAACACGATTAGAAATGTTACGTTTAACAATAAGTGCAAGCAACACATATAGAAGATAAAATGGAGAGACTGTCTTTTGAGGCGGTTTGTTCATGACCTACATTGCCCTCCCTAGGCACCGATCTATAGGTGTAAAACCATGGTGATTGTAGGTGTTAAAAGTGGTTGAGATACAACTAAAATTACATGGAAGGAGATGTTCCAAAAGATAAACAATCTCTTGAAATCCATATAGAATTAACAAAGAGTAGGGCATGATGGAAAAAAAAAAGGTTTATACTAGGTGATACTAATTACGTAGTTGGATGAAGGTTTAGTCATTCTTGCACATTACCTTAGGTCCAAATTTAGAAATGTTCTTTTGTGCAGTCCAATGCCATCGAGCTTTCCTTCTTTACATCCAAGTTGAGACTTGGAGAAATGGAATAGGAAGTTAGGAAGTCCTAGGATTGGTCCCACTTTCAGGCTATTAGAATAAAGATTTAGACTCTCTTAAGTAGGAGCTGCTCTCTTCCATTGAAAGGTAATCTAGATTGCTAGTGAGACTTAAAAAACAAAATTATGACTAATTTTCCAGAGTGACAGTTTGTTGAATCATTCAGGCATTTGTGTTGTATCTTTCGCAAGTTTCCTGCATCCACAGGCATAGATTTAGCTCTTATTCAATAGTATCTGTAGTTGTGCACATACATATCGAGAAAATAATGATTGTTAAACTTGTGGCAATGCATTTGCCGTGGTGTGAGGTGTTAGCGTTTTCCTTGTGGGTTGAAGCGGACACCTGATGTGAGATGAAGAATGTTCATAATGAATTACTCTTATTGTAATTCGTTCTAAAAGAATGTATGAAATGAATCTTTTAGTCTTGTAGAGATGTACAAGCTACTAATGAATGTAGACAACTTCAGGTGCAAGAGAACTTAAATTTTTAAATATTGGATTGAGACATGTCTAAATGGATTCATACATTTGACCCCAACTAACTTGGGGTTGAGTCATAGCAATTGTGGTTGCTAAATTATGTATCAAGTTAGTGTTTTAGACCAGAGTTACCACTTACAAATAGTGAATGTTCTGTAAAGATATCGGTTGTACGGGGACCTTTTTGTTATCTTACGTCTTACTTGCATTGATATTTTTCCTTTCATGTAAGAGCCTTGTTTTGGTTATTAGACTGAAAGCCTTGTCTTGTTTCTTAAAATTGCATGTACTCTCCTGCTGACTTGTTTTATTTGAAGTGTTAATCGTAGACGTGATATGTGTGATTTGGCACGAGAAACTCATGGTAGTTCTTTGATCTTACTATTCTGTGTTCCGTTCTTTGTTGGATATACTTACAAGTTAAATGCTAGCAGTTTGATGTAGGATTGTATGCATTTTTTTCGTTTATCATTGTATTTTCATGTTTAGTTACATAACTGCTCCAGGTTTGGATTGGTAAACCTTGGTTGCTCGACGTCAGCTCACAAGGATGATAGCACCAACTCACATGAGTTAACATGGAACAAATTGGCAGCAACTTATCAGGTATAAGTATGAGATGTGAGTTCCTTCTCTCGTTCTAGTGCATCGTCACATCTCCTCATACATAGCGTGCGTCTCTGAAGTTTCATTATCTTGCACCATGTAAAACTTGTGTTGTAGAGTGAAAGCGAACAAAATTGAACATTTGTGTCAACTTGTATTGTACTGGTTTACAGATTTTGTTTGTGTTTCTGTTGGATATGAGTATCTTGTTTCGACTTCATCAGCTAATCTGTCATCTGGTATTTTGTGTCGATAGATCAAAGATATAATTTTATTTTCAGAAAGTGAAGTAGAGAGACAGGAGGAATTGAATTAAAAGTTATGTCTTAAGAAACGTAATTTATTCTTATGAGATTTTCATCAGTTTCTAAACTTATGCCTTGCGAATAAAATCGAAAAAACTTGATTGAACGGGCTTTCACCATTCCCGATCCAAAAAATTGAAACTAGACCATGTAATACTTGATTTTTGGGCTTTGTTTCTGGATTTAACCAAATATTCCCACAGGTTAATTCATACAAATGTTACGACATGTTTAAATTAAAGTCGTTTTTCCTTTAAATTTAAATTGGAATTTCAATAAACAGACATGTCGATACCACTTCTTTAGCTCATACCTATATGAAGTAAATGCTTTTATGTCTTCGGGCATTTTAATATCTAAACAAAGGAATTAAATGGTATACAAGTGAAGGGTTACATTGAGATTTAAAAAATTAAAAAAAGGTACACAAAAATCAACATAAAATTGAAGGTGCATTACATGTCTATATGTATGTATCTATACAAAAACATCACAATCACAATTAATTAAAAAAAAAAAATCTTCAAACAATATTTGCTTCATCATTCAGAACTTTTTCCAATTCACAAAAATCATCATAATAACTAGGATTAATCATATCAATAATCTGCTGATCAAATGGTACTGAATTCTCAGGTGTAACTGGAACTAGTGAAGGAAGTGATGAATATTCTGAATTATAATCAACATTATTAATCATATTATTCTCAAAAACGCTCGAATTTTTTATCATATTATTGTCCGATAAATTTTTTGAAATTGGAGAAGGTTCATTAGTAATAATTTGGTCATATGGAGCAATAATATTATTATTGTAAAATTGTTGCATGGGGTAATTATTTTCTTGTAAAGATGGAATTAATGTAGGAGGAGGGGTATTTAGAACTTGAATTATATTTTGAATAATATGAATTTTGGCTATTTCTGTCAATTCAGCTTGTAATCTAAGAGCAGATTCAAAAGGGTTCATCAAATTAGAAAGGCTAAGAAGTAAATTTGGATCAGTTATTGGTTGATGTGTTACTGGATCAATTCCTGATTTGAAAAGTTTTTTCTTCAGATGCGTATTCCATAAATTCTTAATTTCATTATCAGTTCTTCCCGGGAGATGAGATGCAATTTTTGACCACCTACAAAAAATATAATATAATATAATAACGTTAATGAATAACATATAAATTATATATACCGATAGCACAAAAAATTGTATATTATTATTGTATATCGACATGTCATAGTAGGTATTATTATTTAACCAACCCTATTTTCAGGTACTTCTCATCTTTTACGAAGTAGTTAAGTATTTTTAAGATTTTTAGTTAATATATCTTGTTATTCGATCAAAATAATTAACAATCACAAGAAAAATGTATAAGAAAATATGTAATACTCTATTTTCAGATTTTATGTGATATTAATTGACTTGATATAATGTTTATAAAAACATGATATTTGTGATCTAAAACAATCTTCAGATACACGTGTTACGATAAATCATTTCATTAATATAAAAGGATAACTTTAAAGTGAAATGGATTTCAAAATTATGGTAAGTTGGGGAAGTAATAAAATATGTATACACATTAATGTAAATAAATTAGATATATTTTTACTATAAATTTTATGAGTGGCTATACATTGGTGGTGTAAATACTTTTTACACCATCATACCATCGTGTCATCTTTACTAGTTATAGTAGCTTTAACAAATAACCTATCCCATTTTTAATATTTCAAAATCTCACAATATTTTAAGGAAATCGACTTACCTATAAATATCTTTGGTATAGAGTTAAAACTCTTTTTTTTTTTTTGCAAAATATTTTTAAAAACAATGAATCAAAACTAAACATGAAACCATATCAAGAAATTAGAGGAAAAATATTGAGTAACCCTACTTGTTTCCAAGAAGAGAATGAAGGTTGATGATAATTTCTTCTTCTTCTTCTGAAAAAGCTCCTCTTTTAATATCAGGCCTTAAATAATTAGTCCACCTTAATCTACAACTTTTGCCACACCTATTTAATCCTGCTCTTTTAGGTATTAATTGCCAATTTCCATGTCCATTTTCTTTAATATATTCCACTAATTTTTCATCTTCTTCACTTGTCCATGGCCCTTTCTTTAAATCTTCATCAACTTTACAACATGGATATCTCCCCATTTTTCAAGAATTAAAAAAAAAAGCACTAAGGAAAGTGGAAAGTTTTAATTTTTGAGAAAAAAATGGAGAAATGTGATGGTTTATATAATTGCATGGAAGTGAGATTTTGGTATAGCATGAAGTCAACTATTTTCTTAATATTAAATTATTTATAGAGAGAAGTGCCCTAGTAAACCTTGTTTAGCTTATTAAGCAAATTGAATTAAATTAAGAATTAGGTAATGTATTGCTTGTGTCAATTTCACAAGAAGTGAGATTTTTTGTCAACATTTCCTCTAAAAAAATAAAAATAAAAATGTTGGTAAGCCACCAAGATTTTTTGTTTTGGATTTTAGTTCTTTTTGGTTGATTATGTTTTACTCCACTCCAACTTATTAGCAGGAGTGGATTTAACATATAATTAACAGATTCAACCCAGCATAATATTTTTTTAATGGCTAATTAATTGTTAATACTCAAATTTTAACCAATAATTTCAAAAGTAAAATAAGTTCAACGATAAAATCTAAATATTTCACTTATAATTTCATGTTACTTTTACTTTGAAGTTTCCTCGCGAAACGGACATATTTAATGTAATTCCACAGAATAGGATTAAAGAAGGATAAAGTGTATGCAAACATTATTCTTACTCGATAGAAGTTATTTTTGATAGATCCCGACTCAAAAAAAAAAAAAAAGTCCAAAGTAGAACTAAGGATTTTATGGAAATATATACTATTGATAACCTGACAAGTCATCTTAGTCATAACAGAATAAAACGATAGTCAAAATATAAAAAACCCACAAAATAATATTATACGACTAATAGTTGCTAATAACTCACAAAAATAAGTGAGACGACACTTATAATTAACTAACCTTCAACTTAAACCTTAATTTTTATACACTTACAATATAAAAAACGAAGATTATTTTGAAAGATAATTAATAGTTAAATCGTACTAGTAAAGAACAAAAAATTACTACACGGCCAATACTTCTATTTATTTTCTTTTTCAAAAAATTTGAGGTTAAAGAAAATTACAATATGAGAAATTAATTTTTCACTAACATGTAAAATTACACATATTTTCAGGCATTATATTTGGCCTTATAGCGTCTATGACTATCTTGCAGTCAGTTTAAATATTTATTAAAAAACTTTATTCCTCAACGTAAATAATTTTTTTTGTGAGGGCATAAATATATATTTTCGTTTTATAATATTTCATAAGATGTGTTCCACATCGTTAAAAGGATTTATGCTTCAACCGCTAGATATAAATTTAACTGCTACAAATAAAATTAAATCTCAGTTCATTTAAATGACAAATCATACGATCAAATAATTTAAATGAGTTCGGACTCTAAAGGGTATAAAATATTAACAAAAATTTTAAAACGGTACATAAAATTTTATAGTAATCAAAACGGCAAAATCGCTGGAACAACAGCGATTTCCTCCATCGGAAAAAGCAAAATCATTTTGCAAAATGTGATTTTTTTTTAAAAAAATGAAAATCGCTGCCTAGGTAGGGATTTTCATTTTTTTTAAAAAAATTCCAGGACATCGCTGCCTAGGCAGCAATTTTCTCAATTTTTTTTAAAAAAAGAATCATATTTTGCAAAATCGCTGCTACTGCAGCTATTTTGTTTTTTTCGATGGAGAAAATCGTTGTTGTTCCAACGATTTTGCTGTTTCAGTTAATATAAAATTTTATATACTGTTTTAAAATTTTTATTAATATTTTATATATCCATTAGGCTCTGGTCTCTGATTTAAATGGTATCCAATGCAAGTCATGCAACTAGTTGAATAAATTCATAGTCCATTTTTTTCTGTTCAATATATTACTCAAAATGAATTGGAAGCAGGTAAAGTACGAGTTGAACAATTTATTGAATACATGAAATTGTTGAAATTAATCCAAAAACTATAAACTATTTCAAGGATAATTAATACTATAATTCTCAAATGATTAGAGTTGTATTTGTTTGAACCATACATTATACTGTCAATGATTAGGTCTATAGGCTACTTTTAATTCTTTGATTCTGCTAGTTAAATATTTTAATCCTCTCAAAAGCATCATTAAAATTGTCATCAATTTTGTCACTTTGTATATCTTACCTCAATATAGCTCTGACTATTTTCTTTCAAATATTTTTAGTCTCTTAAGCAGTTATAAAGTATAATTAAATTATATCCCAAAATGTGGCTGTTGAATAATCCATTTACATCAATGATAATTCAGTATTTAACCGGAATATATATAAAATAGAATAAAACTCGATAATATCAGATGAAAATTTGAGTATTACAACGTGAATCATGGTTGAGTCAGTGTCATCTATATATCAACAATTAATAACAACTATAGTCTTTACTAATCAGTTGATTTGAGTCGGCTATATGAATTTTCAGTCATGATTAATCCTTGATTTTAACTATATAGAGAGATGCCATAAATAGTCGTTGAGCTATTGAAGAAAATTTAAAATAATTTTCTAATTATGTATTTATCGAATTTAATTTTTTAAATATCCAAAGTGTTATCAAACTTGATCTCTTAATTATACACTTACTAATTTTTTATCCCTTAATCATGCACTTATCGATTTTAATCGTTTAAGCATTTCATCTTTTTTTCTCCCATTTTGATCTATATTTTTCTTTCAAGTATGACTTGGTTTCAAAAAAAAAATATAGCTTTTTCGAGACAAATACATATCTGAATAATTATTTAGCTAGAGATTGATCTGAAAATAATAATTAAATAAATAAAAATAAATTATTATTAATATCTTAAATTTATGGATGAAATAGTTACAAAAATATAACATAATATCGGTCATCAAAACAAATAGAGGTAATCTAGGATTCAACCTTCAACACCATGGCACAACACATTATCCAAAAGAATTTTCAGATACTTGAATCAAAAAAGGTCAGATATTTACATGAAGCAGAGGCGAAATTAAATGAAAATTTAAAAATTTGAATAAATTTTTTTTTATTTATAGATCATATATTTATATTGAAAAGTTAAATAAATATATATGTATATTAATTTGTGAATTCTCTAATGAAATTAATTGACAATCTAATGTATCCCTGTGTTGTGATGATGAAAGAAGTGGGGCCTTTAAAGACATTAATTTCCTACGTAGATTAATTTTTTTTCTCTCAATTTTAAGTGAAAATTGAAATCTTGAGATTCAAGACTTTCAAATATTTATCGTAAATTCATATATATAAGCTTTAATTATTTTGAAATTAAATTTATATATTTAAAAACTGTATAAAATAATCGTAAATTATAATAATTAATAACTTAAAAAATTTAAAATATAATTATAAAAATTCTAATAAAAGAAAATTTGAATTAACTCTCCAAATTTCAATAATATCAAATAAATTAAATTAAAACAGAAGAAATATATAATAGCGACTCACAACATTCTTAGTGAACAAGTAAAAAGGAATTGAATTGCAAGGTAACAACGGGTTAAATTATCGATGGTTTAAAAATTAAAATAATAAAACAATTAGCATCATATTTGGTGTTAGTCAATGGGATGTTAGGAAGAAAAGTGACATTTTATCCCCTCATTTTTTTATTTGATTAATTAATACAATTCTAACCGTATCGTAAAAGCGTAAAATAAAAAATACGTCAAAGTGTGAAAATTTTTATGCCATGGAATATAGCATCTAAAAAATTACCATAAGAATCCAAAGTTTTTGGTTAGAATTTACTACCTAACTATTAATTTAATTACAAGAGAGATAAAACTTTTTCCTTACTAATTAAAAGAAATTGACCTATGTTTATTTACTATCTTTGACATTGATTTAGTGGAGTAGCTAGTAACATTAATTAAATTAAATCAAATTAATTATATTTTCATATTTTACAAATATATTCAGATAATTAAGAACTGTGACTTTGACCTTTTCATTTTTGTGTATGAATAATTTGAGGCTGTCGGCCTAGAGGAAATACAGCAACTTTTTCCTATTCATTTAGGGTATTTGTTCTTAAAATTTAGGTAATATTATACTTTTTTTCGTTTATTTTTACTTGTCACATTTAAATATAACAGATTCATTTACAGATCAATTAATATTTAGCATTAGATTTTAAAAATAATTTACAAAAAAAATAGCTAATAATAAAAATAAAACATGAGAGAAAAATTATTTTTTCCTGATATATTTCCTTGACAAATAAATTAAAAATAAAAAATATATATTTAAAATAATGAACAAATAAAACGATACTCGCTTCATAAATTAATGATTGTTATACTACTATAACTAATTTATGTAGAACATTAAAAGTTCTATCCAAGACATAATCTAGCAACGTACAAAAAAATAAAATAAAATAAGGCATGAAGCACAATATATATAATAAACACAATATATATAATAAATATGTAGGAGAGGGAAATTGGGGTCTTGTTGATCTTATTGTGTGCTAAATATATTATTGGTGAATAATTATGTCTTGTTTGGAAATTTTGAGACCAAAAAACAATTGGATAGTCCCAAAAATAGGAAGAAACTTTGTACAATATTTTATAAGTTTTTGAATATTTATTTTGGGATTCTATTTTCTTGATTTGGTCTGTGACATATACGTAGGAGAGGGAAATTAGAATAAGTGTCACTTTAAACAAAAGTACATGCATTAATCAATTAATATAATATGTAGCTTACAAAATTATTAGATGTCTTCAAAAGAATTAAACACTAATAAAAAAAAATCAAAGTTTGAGGAAATATTCACATAAATATTAAGAAATTATTTATATAATAAATTTCTACAAATCATTTTTAATTGAGTACGTCAGGTCAATTGATGTCGCATAAAATAGGATATAGACTGAGTAATTTTGTCCCTAATTACTTGTCCATCTTTTTTTTTTTATTTGTTTCGCTTTACTTCTCAATTTAGACAAATTAAGAAAATATAATAATTTTTTTACCAATTATAAACCTCAATTGATTACTTCGAAAAAAATAAAAAATTCTT